TGTCACGGGTGAAGCTTCTGAGAACGGGATGGGATGAATGGACGAACGTGAACTTGAGAATATATATTTTTTTTTTAATAAAAATTGCCTCGATAGCTCAATGATTCACACGATCTCAGCGGAAAATTTTCGGATTCGGATTCGGATTGGACGAAATGAGAGTTTATTGGCCCGATATGCGGTAATTCCGTTGAATTTTTATCTCCGCAGATGATGAGGCAACTTTCGATCGGATGACAAAGACCTGTTTCGATTTCATTGGACTGAAAGAGATAATACTTTGCTGTTGCTATAGAATGTATACACAGGTGCTCTCAGGCGAGTAACCATTGCTTCGTGCAGATGCTGGGGTCTTCCGAGAGAAAGACCCAGCGACGGGGCCTTATCTTTACGAAAGTTCGAAAAACTCTGAGGAAACACTCCCAGAAAAAATACTCAAAACTCCATTTAAAAATCTCCTAAATTTCTAAAATCGCGGAGTGATTCATTGGCGAATCGATGAATCGTGATGTCAACTCGTCACTTCAGTGAGATCGGCAGGAATATCTCCGAAACTAGAAGAGATGGCGAATTTGTTAATTAACCTTTTTTGTAGCTCTTGAGGAGTTCTACAAAAAAGGTGATGACACCAATTCCAGTATCCGCGATAGATTCCGAGATTTTCATTGAAAACAAAACGTAAACTTGAATTTCGAAAAATTTCTGTTTTCAAGGTTCTGTTATTTTGAATGTAGAAGTGAAAAAATTCGAGATAAAAACTAGAATTGATGGAATTCATTGAGTGAATGGTTTTCAAGGTTTTCCGATTGTTTGGGATCGGAATTGATGATCGGAATTCATCGAAAAATATTTATTTAGTGTTTATTCAGTATTTATATGGTAACCTTGGGTTCTTTTTTTATCGGTAAAAAAAGGAAAAAATTGTGTGGCCGAGCAGCATCCCTTGTGAGCTGTCATATGCGGCTTTGTGGGCACGTGCGGAATAAAAAAAGGTCGAAAGTAAGTGAACGAAGGTGCGAGCGAGCAGGTTGCACAGTAGGCGACAGGTGCTCGTGTAGCTGCACCAAAAGCCACTTCTGTCGTTCATTCTTTTTCCAATGAAAGTGCCGAACCAGCAGTTTCGGTGTGATATCCGAATGATTCCGGGACTAAAATTTCAGGGGTTCACCGTGAAAATCCCGTAATTGAACTTTCAATTCCATAATTTCCCCTAATATCAGTTACTCCGAGTTAAAACTGTTTTATTTAACCCAAAGTCCCAATTTTTATTGATGGTACTAGGAAATTACGGGAATTGAAGATTTGAATTTAATTATGGATTTTTCATTGATTTCCGTGGAATAATTCGAGTGGAATTGAAAATTTAATGAATTGAGAATTCGATTCAGTTGATTTTTCAGAATTCTCGTGGGATAATTGAATGGATAAATGATAAATGGAATTGATAAATGAATACCAAGTGTTTTCATTTTAATTGTATTTTCATTTGAATGGGGAAATAATGGAATATATTATTTGAATTTTGGTGGTTTTTCCTGAGGATTTTGGAGTAGAATTTTTCCCACTTTCTGAACGTCCTCGAGAATCTCTCGGGTGTAGGAAGAATCGAATACAATGAGCCAAGCTCAGCCTCGAAGTAGCTGATCAACAGACCATGAAGATGCAATAATTTGTGCGCACTCTCCTTCGAGGAAACGAAGCATGAGCTAAAGCCAGAAGAATGGGAAAACGCGTTTATACCAGCCAGAGAACACTCACGCCACCGTTCATTTTTCACGTTGCATTGCCGGTTCTTTAGTCCAGCTGATTATTTTTTATCGGTTTTGGTCATCAGTCATCAACCTCGAGATGCGTGAAAACTGTTATTTTTTATAATACGGCGAGCGAAAGAAAATTGCAATCACACGATTTCAACGACGAATTATCAACCGCGAGACAATCACCGATTTATCTCGATGATTATCAATTTACGGTCAAAACGCTAAGGAACTTTTTTGTAGCTCATTGAATTCTGCCGGGAAAAGGTCTTTTGGTATTTTCTTCTAAAATCAATAGTTTCGAAGTTTTATCTCAATATTTAAATCTGAAACCCCAAAAATTTCGTCGGATTCGACTTCACGTGAATTCCAGAAAATCTCGTCGTTAAAAAATTGAATATTAATTGTCGTTGGTTTAATTATTCCGTGGAATAATAACAAATCAAGGGAATTCCTTGAATTTTCCACCTCATGGCTTCCATGAGAATTACTATCACTTGTGCAATGAAGTAATTTAATTCTGCAAGTACTGAATGCACTGAGAAAAATAATGACAAATTGACTTGGGACAATTAATTTGCCAGAATAATGAAGTTATTCTCATCGCATGGCAACAGTCCCATCTCACGTTAAAAATGAATCCAACACGAATCGAACAAATCTTCTGCGCAGTTTGCAGCAAATGACTCCACACATGTAGACTATTCTTTAAAAAAATCCGACACTCGAGCGACTCTCGTTTACCGCTTACAGTAGCTCGATTCGATCCTCTATATATATACCAAACATGAAATGAATAAACTTGTAATATGCACGTATCGGGGTGTGAGATTCAAGTTCCGCCATCAGTCGAGGGGGGAAAAAGAAAGAAATTTGAAGCCGTTAGCCACCGAAGCCGAGAGGAATATCGAAAGTGATTCCCAGATTGAATTACAATGTACGAGACAATCTCCAATAAAAAAAAATCACCAGAATCAATAGATAAGTTTTCATTTTAAAATAAAAAATTGTGATCCCGACGGGAATAACGCGCGTAACGACTCGCTATTTACCGGAATTGCATGTGATTCGAGGATAATAATGAGTGGCTAACGGTCTGACCACTCGAGAAGAGAATTTGCTAAAGTGAAATCCAACTCAGCAGATGGATTTTTTTTTTAAATTCTTTTTCCTTCTATTCAATTGTATTTTTCTTTTGATTCATCTCGCGAATCGAGAAGTTGTCACGGGCATGACATTCTTTTGATGAGTCTTCCTCAAACTGAAGGATGAGATTACGCTTACCTCACACGATTTAGCGAGGTTACAGTCATCGGGTATTTTGTTGCGAGGAAAAAAAAAATGAATGATAAGGACTGAAATAATCTTCACTTCCGGAGGGATATGTTTTAAAATGTCATCCGAGTCGTACCACTCGCGCGTGCGCACTAATACAATTGCAGTATGATGTCAAGTACTCGTTGGCTTCCGGTGGTCAGTGAAAACTTTTTGTCAATTTTTTGAAAATTTCATTGAGATTCACAAGACAAAAAAAAAACAACTGATGCACAGGCAATCGCTGGAACAATTCCTGAAGCCCTCGCCTTATTTTTCAGCTCGAACTCTTGTCTTGTATTATTTATTTAATTATTTATTTATTTATCGTCGGTTTATGTGGGAGAGAATTCGGATTTGCGCTCCCTGAATTAATCCACTTGGAGTTGATTAAGTTGAGGGGGCAGTTATTATTATTATTTATTATTGTTTATAAATAATTTTTCATCGGTGTATGTTGACCCAAGTGATGAGTACTTAACTCCCATGTTGTGTTGCACACAATCGTCTTGTTATGCGTGGAGCGTCATTTCCTTCTTCTCGTTGGATCTGAGAGGAGAGGAGAGAGAATAGGTGGATAATCGAGGCAGGAAGAGGCCAGAAGTCACAGAGAAAAGGTTCAGGGCAGGAAGTGGCTTTAGAGAGTGGTCAAACGACACGTGTTCATCGAGCCATTGCCCTACCTGAAGGAGACAAACTCCAAGAGTCCAACTGGATCCACTGGTAGTCAGGGGTTAATCCAGAAGGCACGTGTCCCCTCAAAAAAAAATCTATATCTCCCATAATCGATATCCTCAAATAAGATTACCTCTCGATTCAAGTAATTACGAGTAATTTCTAATCTGATTAATCTGGATAAATTCCTCCCGCCAATAATTAATCATTATTTTATTTTTTGGAATACATTTTTTTTTCTGGTGTAGTCACTGGGAGATTTAATAAATCATCAATGGTTATTTTCTCATGGCATTAAACTGCAATCCGACAAAATAATTCGGATCATTGACACCTCGAGTTTTTTGAGTTGCGGAATGTCTTACTGACGCGTCTGAATACCAATGGAAAAGCCGATCAAGTACTGGAGGACAGCTTCGCAATGATTTTTGTGCTGACAATGGATATCCTCATTCGATACCATCCCACTTGATTCAATCGCACGCAGCCATTTGTATTTTTTCGTTTTTTTTTCATTCCTCGTTAATTTTTTTTCACCTGACGCGCTCTGATGGGAATTTAAAAAAAAAATATGGGAGCGAGAGTAACGACACTTGCTGATTATTTTACTTGGCAGGGGTCATGCGTTGGGGATTTATGGGATATCCAGTGCTGGGATTTGTACTGGTGAACCCAGTGTCAAATTCTCGAGCGTGAGAGTCTCGAAATTCTGACTCGTTCGCTCGTTTAATTAGAGTTTAGCGGAAACCATCTCTGCAGGGAAGAAGTTATCTAGAGACTTTATCTCTTTTTTTGGCAGGAATTAACGGGGGAGATGTAATTGCCACGTCGATATGATAATTTACTCCATAAAATTTTTATCAGAAAAATGTATCATTCGACTCTAAAGCGATAGATCCACGAAATTGAAATAACCACACGATTTCTCCCCAAATATCTCGAGATCGAACAAAAATACCGATATTTTCATACCCACCTTTTTTGTAGCGCTCACCTTTCCCTGCAGAAAATGTATACCCCAAAATATTGCTATCTCCCTTCAATCGCGAGATATTCGCTAAAAATCGGCGTATAAAAAGGTGAGCTCATCCCACATAGTTCATCGACGCAGTTCATCTCACCAAAATAATCTGATTCGTTTTAAAATATTGTAAATCAATTCTGAAATTGAGGGGAGGACTAGAATTCCAATTAATTAACAAGTGTATATTAAAAAACAATAAAAAATTGAATTTTGTTTCAGAATGTGAAAGAGAGACTCGAAAGTTCCCCTCTGATGATTCCACCCTGCGTGCCGTTCTCCGTCTCGAATTGTGGTGAGTTAGACTTACGTAAAAATTCGTTGGAATTATCGAAACTCCCCCTCACCGCCCACAAAACAATCAATTCCCCCCTACTCACCCTCCCCCATCTATTTCAATTCCCATGTTCTCTAGTGAATCGTTAGGTAAAAGTTATTATCAAGATAACCATGCTCTGAATTTCAAACTCTGATTCACTGGTTCAGGCTGTCTAATAAAAAAGAAAAGAGAGAGAAAAAAATGGCATGGTCTTCTATCTCTGGCCGACTGGTCGTGCAGTTTCTCCCGCGTTAATTAGCAAAAGTTTGCCGTGCAATAAACGCGTCTAAGTTTTACGTAACTCCTTTCGCAGACTGGACAGCAAGTTGTTGAATATAAGGTGAATTAACTAACTCTGGCCAATGCAAGAAGTTTCTGCACGTCTGAGTGCTGTATGAAAGTTGAGGGAATGATAATCGACGGGTTTGAGGCATTCAGAGTCCGTATACCTCTCGTCAGACTCAATTTTTACTCTATTTTGCGTTAGAGGTAGGATCTTCCGGATTGCTATGAATGCACTCGTGAACAATCATGGTACATGAGCATCGGACTTTCAATTGAAAATTTATGCCTTCTGTTACTTTTTCTTTTAGCGTGAATATTCAAATCTTTCGGTTTGTTCTCGCGTTCTGAGAAAAAATCTAGAGTTTTGTACTGACAATAATAAGTAAGGGCAATAATTTTTTGTCCTTCTGATAAATAATGATTGATTATGAACGATTATTGGAATGATTGAAGAAGTGATTTATTTATAGATTCTCAGGGTCGTCGTTAATTATTTTTTAATTAGGTTTCTTTTCTCTGTGAATGAGCATGAGTCTCTGAATTATTTGATTTATTTAATTGAATTCATCTTAATTCAAGGACGAATTACTGTTGCGCAGGAAATAGAGAAATGGTGAATTGATTTTCTTCTCGTAGCGGCAGATAAGACGATCTATATATTTTTTTTTGGCTCCGGTTGTTGAGAGATTAGTTTTGGATTACTCATTGCCTTTATCTCATAATTCTCGGGGATTTCCAATCCACTCTTGTCACGATGTTTTGCCAGATCAATTCTCATTCCGGGTTCAATGCCTGTAACGTTCATCGATCCCCTCAGTCTCGTTAAGATGCAGTAGACATTCTGACATTTTCCGGGATGATCGAACGCTTATTCTTCGAGAATAAAATTACTTTCCTGTATTAAAAAACTCAGTAACAAAACCGAGATAAATTGAAATTGTCATTCCCCCCCAATTACCATCAATTATCTCGAAGAGGATGGATTTAAGACGAAAACGGTAGAGGACTTTTTTGTAGCCAATGAAAATTCCGAGAAAAAAGATCTTTTTACATTTTTTGGAAAAATCAATGGTTTTTGAGAATCATTGATTTTTAGCAACTGGCGAACCGAGATGAATGGAATTGGTCGTTTTTTTTCGATTAATTGAATTATCTCGAAGAGGATGGATTTAAGAGGGAAGTGGTAGAGGACTTTTTTGTAGCTAATTAAAGTTCTGGCGAAAAAGGTTTCTTCACATTTTTTCGTAAAATCAATAGTTTCTGAGATTAATCGATATTTAGTAATATTTCGAAATTTCACTCATCAGATTTTATAACTCAGCTACTGATCTCATGACTCGTCTCTCAGTATTTCGTATTTAGATCGTCGATAATAAAAAATTGAACCTCTGGCATATTCCAAGATATCTGTTATTTTTCGTTGAGTCAATAATGACTTTGAGATATGAATTGGTCCACTCCACACGTGTATACATTTCTCGAGGCCCATCAATACCAAAAAACCAGATGAAGAATTATATTTATCTATCAGAATGATAAGAGCTGACACAAATTCGTCATTCGATACATTAGAATTCTGGGAAAACTGAAATATTTTTTGGAAGAGAATAGGTCTAGATAGCACTGGTGTTTTGAAGCTGTATCAACAAAGAGGCGAGTTCAAAAATGAATCCTATGGTCTCCCGTGGCCAAAATGTTTTGTATTCGACTGACAAATTCAGGTTGATAATGATCAGATAGACAGACTAATGTTGCGTAACGGTGTCCACGAATTCTACGGAGAGAAATGTATGTTGATGTACTGTTTCGAAATTTCTTTGTCACTCTGGGTTCATGAGGATGAGGTGGAGCAGGAACTGGGGCCATTAAACGAGTCTTGCTTCACGATTTTTAGAGCTAGTTTTGGAAGTAAACGCGTTATCGTGGATTTTCGAATTCCTCTGGTGGAGATTATTTCAAGGAGCTAGCGAATTCCGCGTCGGAGGGAAAAACGCTTTCATTTTTCGGGAACTTATCCTGGATATTTGGGGATTTGTTTTCTATTTTTTGGAATTTCTCGGAATTTTTGAGAGCAAATGGAAATCTCTAATAATTTTGAAAAACTGGGAAAGCGAGAAATCATTCACTTTAATTTTCATTACCGAATTATAAATAATAACAAATTTTTCTGCGTTATATTAATCATTCCACTATTTGCCAATAAATTTATTTTATTTATTGATAATTCTGTGGATGTTGCAATATTTCCTGAATTAAAAATCATAATTATATTTCCAAAAATCCTAGAAATTACGCTATTTACGAATTTCAGAGTTCAAATCCGGAGTTGAAATTTCCCAATTAAAACTCATCAATAATTACCTCCCCCTTGAATTGTAGAATTATCAAATTCGAGACTAGCCCTGAAAAATAAAAACTTTCTCTACCCGAGATCGCGTCACCCCGTAGCTGGCTGTCATCCATCTATTACATCACCATCGAAAATTCCATTTACCCAGGAAATAAGAATAATAAAAAATTGATAAGTGCATCGGAATCTGCCGAGAGCCCAGAAGGCCACCTCGAGATAAGAGGTGTAACATGACAGTGATTAGCCCGAGGGACATGTGAGCTATCGAGAGTTGGTACATATAAGAATAATGATGAAAAAAAAAAAACGCGTGCCAAAGGAGTCACTTCCTCTGTTTATAAATCAACACGACCCTTTATTTTGCCTTCTGTTGGTCTGATGGTCACTCGATCGTCTCGTGATAAAATCACAACTGGTTTTTATACCAACTCGTGTTGCTCCACGACATAAAACGTTAATCTGCATCCGTGATGCTGATAAGAAATAATGGCTGTTACGGGCTGTCGGTATTTCTCGTTTCTCGGTTTGTCTTTTCGGTATTCTTGGATGTCTGATTGTTATCTTGTTTCATCTTAACCGAGTGCTACAGTTTGTTTTGGCTTTATGGGATGTTCAAGGCAGGTTTTTCTCTCCCTTTTTTTTTTCTTATTCTCGCGGCACGCGTCTGCACGTCTCAGTTTTTTATGGCATTCCTATTTTATGACTTGTGGCAATATTTGTTTCGTCAAATTTCAAATGATGAATACAATATATTGAGTATTTCTAGTTGAATTTTGCATTTTGTGAGAATTGTCTTGAATTGATTCTGGAGTACAGGGAATTCTTTTGAAATATTCAAAAATTCACGGATTCAGGGAAATTTTTGAAGCCACAGCTATTGAGAATCACGATGATTGACTTCTCTCCACTTTCATGAATCACACGGGTTCGTGATTATACGTGGGGCACAAAAAGGGGAAGAATAAAAGGTGCGTGACTCACGTCCTGACCACCAGAGAATACGTGTTCCCGTGGCACTTTATCTTCGTCATCGGCCTTTCTGTTTTCGTTATCACGAGTATCGGGAAAAAAGCTAAATAGAATGACAACGTGCATCATCCTAGTCGATCAAAACCCATCAAATCAGTGATCACCAGTTAAATTACGTCATTTGTTTTCATCACGAATCCGTGAAAACAGCGAGATTAGTCATTATCACTGGAGTTTCTCACGTACGGAATGTACTCTACTCTATTTTTCTTTCTTCTCAACGATTACATCATTTCCCGTTTGTGAAATCAAACATCCCGGGATTTATCGATCACCTCGGGCATCACTATCTCGATAAAATTCATGTGTAAATAATGAACAAGTTGGATTTACTCACTGGTGATGCTCACCGATGGTGTCCACTGGCTCTTGATGATCATCTGTACTTGGGCCTGTCGATGATTTATTTAATGATAATGAAATTATCTGTACTTGATCTCGGTTTGAAATCACCTGGGAGACATCTCAGAGTTGAGTGAGTTGAATCGGGCAAAGGGTTTATTTTTAGGCTGGAACTGAGATTGAGATTTGGTTCCACCCTTGCGCAATGTTCCAGTTTATCGACCAATGGGAGATTCCGGCTCTCGCAATGTGGCGTCTCAGAATCTGGGGCAGAGCCCAGAGGGTTGCCCAAAGGCCAAACCCCCCAGTCTCCCTCTTTTTCACCCTCGATTTTTTACTGTTGAATTATTAAAGTCCGTTGGATACTCGGTACTAATCCTCTCGGGATTCAGACGTTTTCAACGTTTACAACAGGAAAATCATGTTCTTTGCATTTTCCGTTGGTTATCAGGGACTCATTTGCGGGTGATAATGCAGAAAAAAAGAGGACGAGCGGGAAACGATGGAGGGGTGATGGATTTATCGTCGGGGCGACAAGGAGAACTTTATATATTGCCGTGAGACCTCGATTGGAGAAACAAAATCGTTAAATATTATTTACAATATAAAAATTTTAAATTATTGTACGACTGTTTATGTGAAAATCGAGGCAAGGAAATTTTTCCGGAAAATTTTGGCTGCAGTTGAGAATTCGCTGTTTTGAGAATGACTCTAGTAATTGTTTCGATAATTTGAATAATTTATCATTCAATTTCTGAAGAGGTACATTATTTCCATATATTGACAGAAAAATGAACAATTGGACTACTCTTTGCACTCATTAGTACGTCACCGATAAGAGAACCTTCAAAAGTTGAACTCTTGTTATTCATATTTTACCGAAGCTAGTAATTGCTGTAGATACGCGATGTACTAAAATAGTACTAACCCAGGGGGCATAAACAAGTGATTATCGAAGTTATGAAAAAAT